GCCACTACTTGCTACTCGGATGGCTCACCCAAAATGATTTCGGAGGTGGTCTTTGCATAGTTCATCTGCAAATCTACTTTGCCTTTTATGCGAGCAACAACTGTTGCTGCCAACAGCTCCCCCCTAACTACGCCTCGTCGCGGGTCGCTTTGGGGGTGGTCGGGAGGGAGAGAGGGAGAAGTGAGTGGGCTGGAGGACGAGACTACCGGAGCGGCGGGGTTCCAGCTCTGTCTCTGTTTCTCCCCCTCCCCCCCCCTTCCGAACCCCTGGGTGTCACCCTACCGGCTGGGGGATCGGGTAATAGTAGGGTACTACTAAATTGCGAGTTTTTATTGGAGAGACGTCAAACTTCGTTTTTACGCGTTTTTCGATGTGGCGAACAAAATTAGAGGTGGAAAAACCCTATCCGAGAACATCAATTTTACCATATATTCGGGCCCCAGCCAGCGCCGGCTCAGCTGATCGGAGGGTCGTTTGCGCCAATGAAATACGTTAATAGAAGGGCAATTTCTTATGAATGGGTTAAGCACTTGAATCCTCCCAGCCGAAAATTCCGGTTACGGTTACGGCCAGAATTTACGATTACGGCCGGAATTTTGTACGGTTACGGTCAAAATTTACGATTACGGCCGTAATTTGCTACGGTTACGGTTAAAATTTACGATTACGATCGTAACCGTAGTCCGATTACGGTTTACACTTACGGTTACGAGTAAGCTTACGAATACGACCGTAACCGTAGCCCGGTTACGGTCAGCAGTTTACGGTTACGAGTAATGTAAACGATTACGATCGTAACCGGAAAATATAAAACTTTAAAACGTCGTAGCGCTTAAACTAAGCTTCGCAGGGAGAAACGGTTAAGGGTAACGTAAGGGAAACACAAGTCAAACCTATGTGTGGAGTTTGGAAAGAGTCGATTTTTCAACCCCTGGCTATCTTGAGAACTGTTAGAGATACGGCAACGAAAACACCACCATTGTGCTCGGCGTCAAAAGTTTACATGGGCGACATGTGCTCTGGTCTCATGGGGGCTCTGAGTCACTGCCGATACGTCGTCATCACCGTAACCGGAACGTTCTTACCGTAACCGGGCTGACTAACCGTAATCGTATCCGAAACAGTAAACGTAATCGTAACCGGAACTTTAATCGTAACCGTAACCGGAAATGGGTCCAATTTACGAGTGTAACCGTAACCGTAGTCGTAACCGGAAATGGGTCCAATTTACGAGTGTAGCCGTAACCGTA